TATTGGGTGGTGTGAAAAACTTAGTATGACTTCAGAACGAGGTGAAAATAACTATTATTCCAACTATTATTGTTATACAAAAAAAATAAAACAAAATAATCTTGTTCAAAAGTGTAATGAAACAAGGCGTTAATTAATGGACTAAAATCACAAGCAAAGCATCTCTAACAACCCAATCATTAGTCACAACTATTTTATCCACCACTTTTGTTCTCTCTATAATTATTATATGACTTATTAAAATTAGGTGGTTGGCGTACTGATATATCATTTTTTTAGCTACTTATATCAATCTCTCTAACTATTAAGTGAATCAATATAAAATTGTGACTAACTAATCGTTAGACTTGCTTAATAATTGTAGTTTTTTTTTTTATATGGACCGGCCCAACGTATTAACTCAGGAACGATTAACAATGGATCAGGTCAAACTAAGTCAACCCAACCTCGACTCTGTCGACTCAGAGCATTAACCCATCGGGCCAGTCATCATATATTTTTATGTTATTTTGCTGTTTTTTTAAAATATTTTGTTATTTCAAAAATAATAATTATTTACATATTTTTATGTGGTAAATATTTTAAAAGATGGTAGCCAAAAATATACTTAAAACTTAACAGAAATAGTGGACCTTGTTTAAATTTATTTTGATTATAAAAATCTGGATTGGCTAGCCTGAAGGAACCTCATTAATTAGGTAGCCAAAAATTTATTTTTTATTTATTTAGCAGTGAATATGAAATTAGAGGATTTTCAAAATAGATTAATTTAAATAAGTGTGATTATAGATTTTTGGAAAATGAAAAAAAAAAAAAAAAAAGAAGAAGAAAGAAAACAATACCAAAAATGCCCAATTGATGGTTGTCATTATTTGTGGCTGGGCAAATTGATGTGCCATGTTCTCAACTAATCTTCTGTAAAACTACTCAGCCACCAACTATATTTTATTTCATTATACAAAAACATACTCTTTTCATGTCCCATTTGTGCTTAGCTCAAAATAGGTGA